ACAACACAGGTCATTAATTTTCATTCATTTATTTTCAAATGGCTTCAGGTCTTTTTTTTTTTTCTTTTTTTTTCTTTTTTTTTTTCTTTTTTTTTTTTTTGGGTGGGGCAGTGGAAAGGGGGAAATGAAAAAGCGGAGGGAAAAAAAGTTTCATTAAGTTTTCCTGTTAGTTTCTACCCAGACTAAATTCTGAATAAAGTCTAAAGTCTAAATTCTTAAGACTGAATTGGACAGAAGAAGGTGTTTTACTACAGAGCAAGGATTAAAGTATAACCTGTCTAAACATTTCAGCACATATAACTCTCTTGAAATAATGGCTGACACAAGCATTTACAAGGCCCAGTTACTCATATATCAACAAGTACTACACAGGTCAAACACTAAAGGACTGTGCAGAGAATCATTAATGTTTTTGCAAACATTAGTTGAAAATACAAATACCCCTGGCACAGTAAACTGGTAATGGAAAAGTGTTTAAACTGGAAGACTTATCATAAAAGCCAACATGGTGTACAAAGCTGTGGGGTTTCACAGCTACAACAATACAACAGCTGCACAGTTCTAAATGTCACAGTATCACAGTATCACAGTATCACAGTAGGTTAGAGATTGGAAGGGACCTCAAAAGATCATCTAGTCCAATCCCCCTGCTGGAGCAGGAACACCTAGATAAGGTTACACAGGAACGTGTCCAGGCGGGTTTTGAATGTCTCCAAACAAGGAGATTCCACAACCTCCCTGGGCAGCCTGTTCCAGTGTTCCGTCACCCTCACTGAGAAGAAGTTTCTTCTCAGGTTTAAGTGGAACCTCTTGTGCTCCAATTTGTACCCATTACCCCTTGTCCTTTCATTGTTTGCCACTGAGAAGAGCCTGGCTCCATCCTCGTGACACTCCCCCTTTATATATTTATATACACTAATAAGGTCACCCCTCAATCTCCTCTTCTCCAAACTATAGAGACCCAGCTCCCTCAGTCTTTCCTCATAAGGGAGATGCTCCACTCCCTTAATCATCTTAGTTGCCCTGCGCTGGACTCTCTCCAGCAGGTCCCTGTCCTTTTTAAACTGAGGGGCCCAGAACTGGACACAATATTCCAGATGAGGTCTCACCAGGGCTGAGTAGAGGGGAAGGAGGACCTCTCTCGACCTACTAACCACCCCCCTTCTAATACAGCCCAGGATGCCATTGGCCTTCTTGGCCACAAGGGCACAGTGTCGGCTCATGGTCACCCTGTCGTCCACCAGGACCCCCAGGTCCCTCTCCCCTACACTGCTCTCTAACAGGTCGTTCCCCAGCCTATACTGGAACCTGGGGTTGTTCCTGCCCAGATGCAGGACTCTACACTTTCCCTTGTTATATTTCATCAAGTTATTCCCCGCCCAGCTCTCCAGCCTCTCCAGGTCCCTCTGGATGGCAGCACAGCCTTCTGGCGTGTCGGCCACCCCTCCCAGCTTAGTGTCATCAGCAAACTTGCTGATAGTACACTCAATTCCCTCATCTAAATCGTTGATGAATATATTAAATAATACTGGTCCCAGTACCGACCCTTGAGGCACTCCACTAGATACAGGCCTCCAACTAGACTCCGCCCCATAGACTACAACTCTCTGGCTTCTCTCCTTCAGCCAGTTCACAGTCCACCTCACTACCCGATCATCCAGACCACACTTCCTCAATTTAGCCGCAAGGATGCTGTGGGAGACCGTGTCAAACGCTTTGCTGAAGTCGAGGTAGACCACATCCACCGCTCTACCATCATCCATCCACCGTGTTATTTCCTCATAAAAGGCTACCAGATTGGTCAAGCACGACTTCCCCTTGGTGAAGCCATGTTGACTGCCCCTCATAACCCTCTTATCCTTGATATGCCTTAAGATGGCACCAAGGATAAGGTGTTCCATCACTTTCCCAGGAACGGAGGTGAGGCTAACCGGTCTATAGTTACCCGGGTCCTCCTTCTTGCCCTTTTTGAAGACAGGAGTGACATTTGCTTTCCTCCAGTCCTCAGGCACCTCTCCCGTTTCCCAAGACTTGGTAAAGATGATGGAGAGCGGTCCAGCAATGACCTCAGCCAGTTCCCTCAGCACCCGCGGGTGCATCCCATCTGGACCCATGGATTTATGGATATCCAGATTGCTCAACTGGTCTTTAACCCATTCCTCATCAACTAAGGCAGACCGCTCCGTTGACCTACTTTCATCCGAGGTCTCAGCGGTACAGGGCTCTTCAGGACTGCCTCCGGCAGAGTAGACAGAGACAAAGAAGTCATTCAGTAACTCTGCTATCTCTGTATCTTCTGTCACCAGGGGACCCGTCCCGTTCATCAGCAGGCCTACATTGCCTCTGGTGTTAGTTTTATCTGCCATGTATTTGAAAAAGCTCTTTCTACTGTCCTTGACCCCTCTCGCCAGCTTTAATTCCAAGGAGGCCTTAGCCATCCTAGCAGCTTTCCTACATCCTCTAGCAGCAGCCTTATATTCTTCCCAAGTGGCCAGCCCTTCTTTCCATGACCTGTAAACTCTCCTCTTCCACTTGAGCATACCGAGCAATTCCCTATTTAACCACGCAGGTCTCCTGACCCTCTTCCTCGACTTCCTACATGTCGGGATGCTCCGATCTTGAGCTCGGAAAAAGCAGTCCTTGAACGTCAACCAACTATCTTGGGCCCCTTTCCCTTCAAGCAGCCTAGCCCACTGGATTTCCCCTAGCAATCGCTTGAAGAGGCCAAAGTTTGCCCTGCTAAAGTCCAGGGTTGCGATTCTACTTGCTATTCTACTGACCCTACCACACAAGATCCTGAATTCTACCATCTCGTGGTCGCTGCAGCCAAGGCAGCCCTCAACCTTCACTCCTTCAACCAGACCCTCCTTGTTAGTGAGGATGAGATCCAGCAGCACACCTCTCCTGGTTGGCTCATCCACCATTTGCATGAGGAAGTTATCATCCATACACTGGAGGAACCTCCTGGACTGCGACTGGGTTGCCGAGTAGTCCTTCCAGCAAACATCAGGGAAGTTAAAATCCCCCACGATGACCACGGCCTGTGACCGTGAGGCCGCTGTCAGCTGCCTGTAGAAGGCCTTGTCAACTTCCTCACCCTGATCCGGTGGCCTGTAACAGACCCCCACAACAGTATCGCCCCTAATGTCACTTAGGGAAAGATATGTCTTTCATAAGAGTGGCTGACATGATTCAGGAATGGGATCCAGGGAAATTTTGGGCACGCAAGCTCTCCTTTCATGTGTGAATTAGGTTCAGAACAAGTGCTTCAAGTTCAGCTTGGCAATGGGTGACCATGCTCTGCAGACCCATTGCCCGGAGGCAGAGGACAATGGGCCATCAAACATCTTGCCAGAAGGCCCTTTGTCTGTGAAACACTGGAAGTGTGGGTGTGATAAACACATAAATGTACTGGGTTTGGCAAATCATAGGTGTGGTTATGTGGGTATAACTGTATGAGTTTACAATAACAGAAACAAAGATCACTAAAGACACAAGATTAGATAAAAGTTAAGGGACAGAACTCTTGAGCAAAATGGAGTCACATAGCAAAAGAATTTGTAAAGGTAAAAGATGGGGGGGACACTTGAGATAAGAAAAGCTAGTGCCTGGAAAACATAGTTAAAGCACTTTTTAGCTTCACTTAGGTTGTAGAAAGAGAACAATGTTTATGTTGTAAGTCTGTGGAATGTAGTGGCCCCATTAAACATGAGTTAATTGTTTCACACTAGTCTTCTAAAGCATCTTTAACTTTAAAGAACAATATTTGTGTTGGAATTCTGTGGTAACAGGATTTAGTGGCCCCACTAAACATGAATGAGTTATTTCACACCATCCTTCTATTTATCAGTTAGTTTAGAGACAGAGCTTCCCGATCATCTGCTAGATTGGGATAGTCCTTGTCTGCCCATCCTGCAATAAATTTTGTTTTAAATCTTTGCTAGTTATCAGAAGAATTACAGATATGTTTGGTTTCAGCTAGTCGTGTGATTACTGGTGCGTCCAACTGTGCCAAAGGTGAAAAGTACACTGTGAGGAAGACTGTGTACTTGATCTTGAAGACCCCTACTCACAAGAGGAAGACTGTTCACTTCATCCTAAAGACCCCTGCCCACAATCGCCAGAGAGTAGTGCACAGACACCAAGAGGAGGGGACTTAATAGTAAGTTCCTGGGGCTAGTTATAATATTCCCCACCTATACCCGGGAATTACAAATATTTATGTGACTAATGTAATAGTGAAAGTATATAAACCTGTAACAAATACTAATCAATTGCGCCTCTGGCTAGTCATGAGCCCAGCGCTGTTGATTTGCTTTATCGACTTTGTCCCTCAGTAAAACCTTGTTATCTTGTTTAGAGGAGTGAGTTTGTATTTCACAGTGGGGGAAAATATAATGGACTGGAAAACTTAAATACTGTTTTCTTATGCCCCGTTAAGACCCATTATGCCCCAGTTAGTTCCTGTGACCATTTTCTCACAATGCTTTACAGGTTTTACTTGAGACTCGGGCAGGACTGAGGTTGAAGCTGTTGTTTCTACCAGAAATGTTCCCAGCTGCGGATAACCGTGGATCCTGCTCCTCTGCTTGCCCCTGCGGGGACGCATGCCCCGTGTGTGAGCCCTCCAAAACCCGCCTCTCCCATGAAGACCTCCCAGCCCCAGGCCTGGAGCTCGACAGTTGGCTCTTGGTGGGCTGAGGCAAGGATAGCGGAAGCAGGCAGTAAAGGCTGTCAGCGCAGGCTTTGCCCTTGCTGCTGAGGGGCGTGGCGCCCGGGGTCCCTACCGCAAAGAGTACAGGCCTGTGCTACCGCTCCCTTCCGCTCTCCCCGCTGAGGGGAGCGGACTACAACTCCCGGCGTGCCGCGCAGCACCGACGGCAGCTTTGATTGGCTGCGGCCCTCTCCTCCCTCCTCCGGGTGACGGTGTGCCAGGGTGCCGAGGTCCCTGGAGTGCTGGGGGGGCCGCATGGCGGCGACGGCGGCGGGGTGGGGGTGGCGGTGGCGGTGGCGGTGGCGCAGGGGCACCGCGTTCCTGCGGGGGGCGCTCGGGGCAGGCCCGCGCCGCGCCTGCAGCTCCGGGCCGCCGGTGCGGACTCCCGCCGCCGCGGCTCAGGTGAGGTCAGCCGGGAGTGAGCAGAGGGACTGGGGCGGAAGGTAGTGGCCGGGGCCTGCGGGAGAGTGCTGCTGACGCGGGGGAGCGTGCAGTGCTGTTGCCGGAGGTTTGGAGTGCCCAGCCGGTGCCTTGCAGTTAAAATTAAGACTACGTCGTTTGTGCTTGTGATAACCGAGGGTTGGCCTGGCCGGAGTGCCCGAGCGGAGTGCCCCTGCCATAGCAGTGTGTAGCGCGGGGGGCGCTTCAGCTGCAGTCGGCCGGGCTGGGCGCGCTAAAGCTGACCCGCGGTTTTCAGTAGGCACGCTTAATCCAGCAACCTGTCCCAGAACGATAGGTGATTTGTATAGCGAACGTGACTTGATCTGGGCGGGAGTCAACAAAACGTGTACTAATGTATAATTATACTGCCTTACTTTGCTGAATGTCACCTTTCTTTGGCAGTAAGTAGGACATTCAGAGTCTGGGCTGAACCAGTTTTGTGTTCTCTCCTGATTTGAAGAAGAGGTTACACAACAGCATTTGTTCTTGCCTAGGTCAAAATCAAGTGGTTTGGCAGCTTTTGGGCGTCGTGGTCTGTCTGAGTGGTCATGGGGAACTTTGTGACTGAGCTGTGTTCGTCCCTGGTGTGAAATCAGCGCAGGTGTTGTCCTAATCCAGCTCCTCGTTTTGCTTTTGGTCCTCAGGTGGATCTGATCTCTTGGTGTCCAAATGCAGGAGAAAAAGCTGCACAGAAAGGCAAAGGTTCTGTATAGCAGAAATACAGTATGACAGGCAGAGTAATCCCAGCTGGAACATGCTTTATTGATTTACTTGCAATTGCATGGCTGACTTTAAGGAGCAGAAAATTAGCTAAAGCTACTAGTAACCGTCTTTGTGTCACCAACATTGAATGCATTCACTACCATTCATTTACAGAGAGCCAAATGGAGTTGTGCATTGCTTTATTGAATGCTTACTTGCCTCAGGAGTCTTGAAAGGCTATTGAGTTTCTTCTGCTTTTTCTAAACCATGTACTTTTTTTTTTAATTTATTTAACTACATTTATGAATCGGGTAGTTCTAACATACATTCAGGAATACTTTAGAGAGAGCTTGTTTACGTTAATCATCTTTGAAAGCCCTCTTCCCTTAGGGGATGAAAGCCACAGCGGTTGAAGTGAAGAATGGGATGGGTGGTTTGTGTGTGTGGCATAGTAACTGAGGCAGGTGTGCTGGAGTACTTGTGATGTCCTGCAGGGCATGAGAACTCAGCAAGCTCATGCAAAAGCAAAGACAGTGCAAAATTAGTAACTATACAGTGGTAATATACTCACTGCTCATCACTGTTCTCAGTCTGTCGCAGCATCCATCTGTAGAGGGAAGCAATTAGTGTTACAGCCATAGGGCAGTGAAACATACTTTAAGATGATGGGATGTTCAGACATTCAAAGTAAGTGTGAATATTGTTTGACCATCTTTTGGGTTGGTTCTGAAAGTGTTCCTGGGTTCTGTTTAGTTTAATGAGATTTCAGTTGGGTTCAGGGGGTGCAAAGGGGAGAATAGATTCTGTGTTTAATCCCATTTTAAAACGATCCTTCTAGCTGTGGAAGGAAGAACTCGGGGGACTTCAGGAGATGACTGAAAGCTGGTGTCCATTATGTCTTTAGGTGAGGTTATAAACAGGGGGATTGGTATAGCTACTGTATTGGTGGTGTGTTGTGAGCTTATGTTCAATTTATGACTCTTTGGGCTTCATACTGTGTGCTGGTTTTTGAGATAGTGGAGAATGTATGCATACTATCCATTCTGTATCCTCCTGCATTTGCTATTTGTAGTAACACTTTATATGAATCCTTGGTAAATGATTCCTTCCAGCAGAAAGACTTAATAGGTTTATTTGCATATTGAATGTCCATTTAGTTCTTAAAATGTTCTGTATATGAAACATGTGATGAAAATGGATGTATTTGTAGAATTGAAATTACACTGACCAGATAACCTTACTGGGCAAATATGGGGCTGTAAAAATTTGTGTCAGTTTTGAAGGTGAAATCAGATATGCTTGGGAAGCTGATCAGAAGTTGTTTACAAATAAACCCTAGAACTTGGATGAGCTTATTACTGGATTGTTTTGCATTGAATGAGCCTGTTTGTACCTCAGTATTTAAGATGCAATTGTCAGTCTGGAGATGTGTGCAGGGTCCCTTTTTCCTAAGACTACATAATGGCAGGTAGCAACAGGCTCTATGAAAGCAGCATTTTCACGGTTGGTTGATTTTGTTCAAGCATTTCTTGACTAATTCACAGTTGACAGGATAACACCAGACTTTCCTTTGTTACCTTGTACACAAGATACTTTTCCAAATTATGTTCTTGAATTAAAAAAATTATATAGGATTACGTATTTCTACTACAACACTGTATTTTCCAGTATAATAGAAAAAGTACATTGTACTTTTAAAATTATTATTGTTCTTATTGTAAACTGGAACTTTACATGCAAAACCGACAACTTTTTGAAACAAAGGAGGAAGATGAGTGGAGTCTTAAGATAGTGAGGCTTGAGAACAGTAACACTAAGGAACTTAGGGTTTTTTTTCCCGTTTTTGTTGTATCATTTCCAATAAAGGACTTCCATCCTGATACAATTCAAACAACCACTTGAAATTTTCTGTGGCCTCCATGGAGTCTTCACCACTGGGATAAAGGGCAGAGTGCAGCTTGTCTTGGAAGACCTCATATGGCCCTTATTTTTTGCCAGTCATGTCTGAAACTCTGTGTCCTGGAGCTTCATTTTGTGCGTAGCTGGTCCAAGCTGAGCAGTGTTCTCTGTGCCCGTAACCAGGACTCTAGCATGCTTTGCGGGGTCAACTGTTGGGCAGCAGCTGCAGAGCCCTCAGAAAAACATTTGTTTTGGACTCTCAGCTCAGGCCTCATACTGGCACTTGGCCTGTTTAGACCCATTTCAGCCTCTGTGGTTGCCTAATTTCGAGGTTGAACAAGGACATTATGTCACCACTTCCCTACAGATTATGGTATTAAAGGTGAGGCATGAAGCAGAAGAGCTTTTGCTGAGTGGTGTCCATGGTGCTGGCTCAGCAGCGTTAGGTAGTGTGGTGAAGGTGGCAGCGCTGATGCACAAACCCAGCAGGATTGCAGGAGCTGAAAGAGGCAGTGGCTGAGAGCAGCACTGGCAGTGTCGTAAGTACAGAGGCTGTGGTGGTCCCTGATGCCTGTGTTTGCAAGCATTACTGTTTCACAGTGCACAACTGTCACTGGGGATAAGGTGAAGGTGGAAAGGTAGAGCAAGCATACTACTCGATCTTCAATTTGATAAATAACTAGCAGCTCTGTTCTCTTCCCCCTTGTGTTTAACTGAGCATTTCCAGTATCTGTCAGTTGGTGGTGTTCTGGTGGCTGTTAATACATCTAGTGACAGCTTCAAATTTTGCTGCTTTGTTAAGAGTTTTCCTGGAAATTACACGTGAATTGGCAGGTCTGAAGGGCTCACAGATTGTCAAAATATAGCTGCTAGGTGCAGTCATCTAAGCTCTTGTTCATTCACTACTAGTATAGAACATGGGATTGACAGCCCAGAGAATGAAACTGTTTCTTCACAGATGAGATAAAGCCCACTGTGTCAGGTCTGCCTCTGATGTGCAGAAGTGTCTCCTGTCAACTATGGAGAGAGGGGTGTGGAGACTGGAGATTATAACCATCCCTTTTAAGTGAAAAAGTTTTGTGTTTGGGCATTGGTGCGTTAAAATACCAACAACTACCCATCTTTCCCAACTACAGGGAACTGAATAACCCTTTCACTTTAGCCTGGGAACTGCATCAGGTAGCTTTTGCTTTCTTCCTGCTCTGAAAGCTCTCACACAGGCTTCAAGTCTAGGTCCTCATCTTGTTCTTCCCCTTCAGAAAATCCTGCTCATGTGGCTAGTTGATAGAGTGCTTCATCCTTCCCCTGAGTTAATCAGAAAGCTGAGTTTCCATCTCTGATATTTGTCCTTCCATGTGGAAGTGTGTCAGTGCTAGGTGCAGTGTCAGTTTTGGTAACACAGGATTCACTCCCACTGGAGCTCAGGCTAATGCTACTGAACTCATGAGTGTCTCCTAATTCCTCTTTGCTGACATCAGAAACTGAACTAAGCTTAAAAATTTCCATCTCCAGTTGTTCTTCCTTCCCAGACAAACCTATCTTTACACACAACAGGAAGCTGGAAAAGATAGAAAGAAACTCTAGTAGCTCTGAAAAACTTTCTTCTTTTTCCCATACCAGCACTGGCTATTTTGCAGCAAGAGAGCAAATGTTATTTCTAACAGGAACTTCGAAGTATCTTGACACCAACTGCCTGTTGAGTGCCTTTTAATACCTCTTCTGCACAACTGACTTTAAAGAAATTAATGAAGGGCAGTATTTCTCACTTCACTCCCTCCCTGTAAGGCACACTCTAAAACGGGGAGGCAGGATATTCCTACTTTTCTGTTATCAGGTGGAGTGGGTAGGAAAGCCTGGCCCTGAAATAAAAATAAAAGGAAGGAGAACATCAGAAATCAAGCCAGGTGAGAAAGCTGTGCAGTTTAAAATGAAAATAATGAATGCACAATAAATGCAACAGAGACAGCATTTTGAATTTAGTTTCTTGCGGAAACTAAGGCTGTGCAGAGCTCATAATGTGCAGGTGCATAGGCTGGATTAAAACCTAGATGGCTTATGCTGCCTGTGCACATTGGAGAAGATGGAGATGTAGGAACCTCTGTAGGTGTGAGCAGCGTGTGTGACTGTGGAGAGGTTGCCGCTGACACCTTTGGTGCTGCAGGGAGGAAAGGCCAGGCCTGGGAAGGGCCTTATCTGCCTGCTGCTGTGGCCACCACTACAAAACAGAAACTGAAAGAGATTGCTTTCTTGCGGCAGAAAAGCAATTACATGGAACTTCTGTTTTATCGGGGTAAACAGATGCTTTCTGGGCTTTGAAACAGCCACTTTGTGTCTCCTTTATCTTCTCTGGCCCCCCTGCAAGGGATGTTCTTAGGGATCTTCTTATCTAACCACAGAGTTGCTTGGATCAAGAAGCGTCGTGGTTTGTTTAGAGGCTAGTGGAAAGATTGTGCTGCGAAGAAAGACTTCTCCTGCTTATAAATTTAGCAGCAGCCGTGCTGTTAGCACAGCTGGAATCGAAATTGCTGCAGCTGCTCATGGCTGAGGTTGGAACTCCCCCCAGGTAACTTTCGCTTGCCTGGCTGATCTTGTCACTGAGGGTGTTCTCTTTGACTTCCACCTACCCCCAAATCTATCTTACAAATGCTTCCAAAATAAAATGCTTTAAAATAGCTATCTGGGTTGTTCAACATTTTAGCTGATCATTTCCAGACTTCTCTCACGGGCTGTTTTGAAATACTGTGCAGGATTAACTCCTGTGGTTACTAGTGATGACCAGAGCCAGGGAGATGATGGCTGCAGCTGTGTTTTTGCCCAGTCCCTTGGCGTCATCCCATACATGCCAATTTTAGTATGTTTGGAGGTTTCACAGCTCTGTTTTTCACTAGATGAAAATAATTACTTTTGCTCAGTTAAGCAGTTTGAATACTAGCTAATGTTTAATTTTGTCTGGTTCCTTATTCTGCATCTTAAATTTATAGAATCGTAGAATCATAGAATAGTTAGGGTTGGAAAGGACCTTAAGGTCATCAAGTTCCAACCCCCCTGCTATGGGCAGGGGCACCTCACACTAAACCATATCACCCAAGGCTTTGTCCAACCTGGTCTTGAACACTGCCAGGGATGGAGCATTCACAACCTCCCTGGGCAACCTATTCCAGTGCATCACCACCCTAACAGGAAAGAATTTCCTCCTTATATCCAGTTGAAACTTCCCCTGTTTAAGTTTGAACCCATTACCCCTTGTCCTATCACTACAGTCCCTAATGAAGAGTCCCTCCCCCGCATCCCTATAGGCCCCCTTCAGGTACTGGAAGGCTGCTTATGAGGTCTCCACGCAGCCTTCTCTTCTCCAGGCTGAACAGCCCCAACTTTCTCAGCCTGTCTTCATATGGGAGGTGCTCCAGTCCCCTGATCATCCTCATGGCCCTTCTCTGGTCTTGTTCCAACACTTCCATGTCCTTTTTTTGTTGAGGACTTGTTCCAACAGTTCCATGTCCTTTTTTTGTTGAGGATACTAGAACTACATGCAACACTCCAAGTGAGGTCTCACAAGAGCAGATGCCAAAGCTTTATTTAATCCTTTGCCTGCTGCAGCCTATCAGGACTAGCCAGTGTGGCTTCAGTTTGACAGTTCTGCAGCTGATATTCTCTCTCTAACCACACCCCACCCCTATCCCCCCTTCTTTTAAACCTGTGAACACCATGTATCCCGGAACAGGTTTGTATTTGCTCCTTCACTGGAGATGAAGTTCACTCTATGCTTAGGAACCCCTTAGCTTCCAGTTTTCATATCTGGCTACTAAGTGTCCGTATGTGGTTAACTAGCAGGACCAAAATGAAGGTAGTTGTTTTAATTATTTTGATCCTCTTTTCACTTTTGTGATGCTATGCAGCTGACCTCTGTCAGAGTTATTAAATGGGCCTCCTATAAAATACTAATTTAACTGTGATGATGAAAAGACACCAAACTTGACAGGTTTTGTATGATTTTGTTTGTGGGCATTTTTATCTACTGCTTGAACCAAGTATCCACCAGCTAATTAAAGTATGTTGATAAACTTTTGCTTTTCTGCACTACTGTGATAAGAATTGGTTCAATTGCTATATGTTTCACTGAAGGTATTGAAATATTTTCCAAAAGTAGCAGAGTATTTTCAGCTGTGCTTTTCAGGGTTAGAAAAATAGAGACATAACATGCTAATTTGAAAGTCATGGGCTAAAGGCAGTGGGACTCCCAGAGCTTAGACCTTGCTATAGTGTTCTGGTGTTGGCAGTAGCAATGTTTTAAAGATGCTTGGCATAAAGTTGAAATGTATTTGTTTCCATTAGCAGCTACTGATTTGGGATATTTGATACCTAAAGTGATCAGTCTCATTGTGGAAGGCAAATACTCAGTACTTCCTGAAAACTGTGTTGCTTTAGAATATGTGACTCTGTGCTTTAAAAGACCCAGAAATTGTAAACAGAAATTGCTTTTAATATTCACTTCATGACAGTTAAGAAAGATGTCATTAAAATTCTGAATCTTTTCATGCAGGCTTGAACAGTTGGAGTGTTCAGGATCATACATTTCTCTTCCAGTCCCACTGTGCCCTGTAGTATTTGTCATCTTTTAACTGAGACAAGCTGTTTGGCAGTATTCTGTTGTATAGATTTGTGCAAGACCATGTTGGAAGTGTTCTTGAAACAGATAATTGTACACAGCAATAATTCGGTTTTGCTGTTAACAAGATGTTATGTTTTGCACATTAAAGTTGATCGGGACACAAGCATTCCATCAACTTTTAGTTCTCTTGTACTGAAACACAGGGAGGGACCATTCTATATGATTTCATTTATCTGAGAGCTACAGCGAGATTGTGTGGTCCTGTCTCATTGATTCTGGAAAGTGAAGAGACACACAATTGAAAAGAAGTTGCTTCCTATTCTGGACAAAAAACCTGAAGCACATATGGCAGAGAAGTGCATCTTAAAATGCACAGGGAGGAGCATCGTACAGTTCCATGGAATTAAGTAGGGTGTGAAACTTAATAAATGACCAGTTTTGAACATAAAACAAGTTACATTTTTCTCTTGTGCAGCTGTCCCTGTGAGGCAAAATGGAATAATAATTGTCAGTTGAGTTCAAAGTTAATGTTTATACAGCAAGTTGGCAGGATAACTATTCACATACCTAGCACTTGCTTGTTTTCATTACAGGAATTGCAAAGCTCAGGAAGAAGACGCTTTCTACTGGAACATGCTGCTCCCTTCTCTGCTTTTTTGACAGACAGCTTTGGGCGTCAGCACAACTACTTGCGAATTTCTTTGACTGAGAAATGCAACCTCAGGTGTAAGTGTCTGCTTGCTTGCACAATGTCCTTGCGCACAATGTCCTTGCGCACAATGTCCTTGCGCACAATGTCCTTGCGCACAATGTCCTTGCGCACAATGTCCTTGCGCACAATGTCCTTGCGCACAATGTCCTTGCGCACAATGTCCTTGCGCACAATGTCCTTGCGCACAATGTCCTTGCGCACAATGTCCTTGCGCACAATGTCCTTGCGCACAATGTCCTTGCGCACAATGTCCTTGCGCACAATGTCCTTGCGCACAATGTCCTTGCGCACAATGTCCTTGCGCACAATGTCCTTGCGCACAGTGGTGCAAAGAACTGAGTTAGGGTACTTACTGCTGTGTTGGCTGTGTGCTGTTTCTTGTCTTTGCAAAGTAACGGTAAAGGATAGGCTGATTCGGGGCTGAGCTGCTGGTGGGATGGGGAAGCAGGAGCAAGCCTATGGGATTGGCCAGAAACAGTGGGAGTGATGGGTCTTTTCATGAGAATTGGTGTGGTTTGGATGATGATGCTTGTATGCTATACCCAAAGCATGTGATAAGCATGAAAGCTTGTACCTAGGTGTTCCCAAATTATGTCAGCAGAGTCTCTGGCAATGTACCAGTGCTTGCTATATCAGTTTGGTGTTGCTGAATGCAGGTTAGATAGCAGTAAGTTCAGCTTTTCCTTCAAAGTGGATCTGTTGTAATTTTGAGACCTGTCAAATGAGTTCTGGGTTTTCTTCTGAAGGAAAACAGGAAATTGTTAGGAGATTTTTTCTAAGATTTGGTGTGTGACCTTATCCATATTTAAGAAAAGCCAAGTCACGTTAAAGACAGTTGCACTTGGTGTATTTTGCCCATCAATATTAGATTAACTGCTGCTGTTTATTTTTTCCCCATGTACTTCTGTATTCTTTGTTTCAGGTCAGTATTGTATGCCAGAGGAAGGTGTTCAGCTGACCCCTAAATCAGACCTACTCACTACTCAGGAGATAATCACTCTGGCCAAACTGTTTGTGAAAGAAGGTGTAGAAAAGATCCGACTGACAGGAGGAGAGCCACTTATCCGTCCTGATGTGGTTGATATTGTGGGTGAGTTCCCAATAAATACAGTGTGTTTCAAAATGACTTGCTATATATTGATCCAAAACCTATTCTTATCTACTAATACAGTCCAGCAACCTGAAGAAATAATTATATATTAAATGATGGTGCTTTTTCCCAACATTCTTCCTTTTGGAAGACTTCTAGTTCTGTTCTCCTTAGAGGGAGCTTATATCTCTCCATATTATAACAGCTGAACTTATCATAGTTTTATTCAGAACCTAGTAGAATTATGCAGCATTGGGATTAAATCAAGAATTAATACGACCAGCTCCTCACTGAGAAGGAACAGTCTATACATGCTTACAAAACAAAAAGACATTTTCTCTTGGGTTTTTTTGAAGGGTTGTTTTTGTGTCTTTGTTTTGTTTCCTTGATAACAGTTGTTTACCTGTGTTTGATAAGGAATGAAGGAAATGTCTGTGTTGTCACAGTTACTGATGAAGACTATTACTTCAGTAGAACATAAATTACTGGCTTATTTTTAGAAGTCTAGCTCTTTCAACAGGTATTGTGTAGACTGACTGTGCCTCTTATAGGGGGAGGGATTTGTTGGGTTTTGTACTGATTTTTTTTTCTTTTTTTTTTTTCTTGAGACACGTGCTCTTTTTCCCCTGTTCAAAATCTTGTACATTCTGGCTATTACAACAATTCTGTGTAGTGGCAATGTGTTAGATTAAGGCTACGTAGGTGAGTGTACTTTGGTGTATTGTAGGGAACTGAACTCATCTGTTTCTGCACGTCTGCTCTTGTAAGTACTGAAGATAAGAAAAGATTAATATTGAAGATGAAGGTCTTGAAAGTAGAGTGGCTGCCTACTGATACACTGAGCTTTGGTGCGGAGAGAATAGTTGGTCTTTGCTCCTGCTTTGTTTTGTTCAGGATTTAGAAGACTTTTATGGTCTTTCCTGAAGGAAGCAGCAGAGTGGTGTAGTAAGTAGAACTGACCTGTTTATAGCTGGGAAAGGTATGGTTAGAGTGAGCTGGCTTAGGTATTCCTGAACCTTGATTGTGAGGAAGCTGCACTAACTTCATCTTTTTGGAACTCTGGAATTCTGTAGGGTGTTTTGCCCATGCACGATAGCTTATATTTTATTTAGGATTGAGTACAGCTTTATCATTCACTAGAAGTAGCTGATGGCTTTTTGTACTCATCATGGCTACTCTGATATTGAGGGTGTAAGTTGAGTAGCTAGGTTGCTGCAAAATAATTACAACCTTGCTGCAATTCTGAAGTATTGATACTGGAAGGATAGAAAGCTTTTTTGTTTGTTTTACAGCAACAGTAGAATTCTCAAAAGTTTATTTCTGTGGCTGAAAGAGAGAGATGGATCTTTTTGAACCACTGGGCTTTCATTACTTTGTGTTCTTGTTCATAGTTAAACTTTGTAAGATTCGTAGTGATAACTTTAATGGATGACAAGAGAGTAGTGATCTTAGGGTAAAGATAATGGATGTTAAGATGATTGTGCTGTTGCATTAGTTCATTCTGTCATGAATTTGTATTAGCCTGGCTGTTTTTTAAAAAGGCATATTGAAAGTTGCCAGATTCTAAACACTTTGTATCTTCTCAGGCCTTGGTGTTACACTATGATGCGTAATCTTGGGACCAAGATAAATGTCTCAAAACTAAATAGATCCCATGTAGCAACTATGGGAAAATTCACTGAAGGACAAAAAGCCCAAAAATGTCTTCTGCAGAATCTGAGTTAGGCATCTGTATTGAAACCATCTTTAGCATTATGTACTGATTCAGGCTGGCATAGAGTTAATCTGGATTTCTAGATGATTTATAGAAGTTGGCTGCAATATTTTGGGTGCTGAATAGGGGTGAGGTTTAAGTTAGATTTGTTTTCAGCAAACCTTTCTCTTAACTATACATGGTTTATGAAATACCAATAAAGCTCAAAAATATTAATGATGGATTACCATTACTGTATTTTTCTAATACTAAAGTGAATACTTTGTTGTTTCAATGAACGAAAGTGATTTGAAGCACTGTAGATCATGTTATTCAGAGACCTGCTACAGTTCTTTAGATTATTTCAAATCTTTTAATACATGCACATACATAAGCTATGACTCAGCAACTAACACTCGCTGAAAGCTAAATCATGTCCTGGTGACTGCTGAGAATGTGTTTGAGACTTCTGAGGCAGCTGACAGTGGAATATAGTATCCATCTCCTTTGAACACACAAAGCTTAAATTATCACTGAATATAAACTGATGGCTGTTTATTATTAGTAGCGTGAGAAGTACACTTCACTGATAAAATAATTTTCAGTGGGTAGGGGGTGGTTGGTTAGATGACTATAGCTACATACACATTTCAAGAGTGAAATGATGCAGGACAGACTTGTTAATGTATTAGGTGTTACACATACTTTATCTGTATTTAATCAGGAGAAATGCAATTGAGAAAATGATTGGAGGGGAACATGTAAGAAGCTTGTCTAAGAAGATGCTCCTGATCATAAATCAAAAAAGTAAATGTTAAAGGGTTTACTTGATTGCTTGATCCTGACGTAGAAGCTTTTAGCTTCATGCTGTTGAATTACAGCATCTGTTCTGTTTCCTTTCCTGCTCCACACTTTTATTGGTTGTCTTTGCTTGTGCTGATTGTTGCTAAAGCTGTGACCACTGGTCAGCAAACAGAATTAATACAGGTACAAGGTGAGTTACAAAGTTATGAAATCCCTCTTATCTCTTTTGGACTTGAAGGTCAACAATCAAGAAAGCAAGCAACTGCAAATGTTCCACCTATTAGCTTGCACAAATAAGGCAGAATGTACTAACTGGTCTTAGAATCCCTTTACTTGTTGGTGTTAGTGTTAAGTCTTCATCTCTAATTGCTCACAGTAAGCATCTATCCAATTTGTTATTACAGCTGTTTCCACATACTAATGTATTTCTACTGCCGCATCCTGTCTGATGAGGTATAAGGTGCATTGATAACAGCCGCTGCCTGCACTAACTGCCCTGTTCAATTACAGGTTTTTTTTATTTTTCCCATTTTAGTGCTACTTTTTTTACTTCTCCCATTTTAGGCTGCAGCATGACTTTGATTTTACTCAATGCCTTTATGCATTTTGTATTTCTAGTAATGAAAACTGTATGTCTTTTTTTGCCTCTGTTGTTAGGAGGTTAAGCATTTTGTGCATTCTGAGGCTGTAAATAAAAGCAGTGGTGTTATATGCTACCCTCTGACTGCAATGTGTATCTTGCGCTGTCACAAAGAATAGGTTGCTAGTGGTAGCTAGTGTTAAATAATCTTTGGCAAACTTGTGGCAGTAGCACTCGTCCTCTAAGAGGTTATTACTCTTCTGTTACAACTTCAGGTTCCAAATATCTTCACAGAGCTCTTACTCATGTTGCAAAATTAAGCTGCTGTACATTTCAGCATCTTTGGTGTGACCCAGCTTGTCCCATTCTAGAGATTTTTGCCCATTTTAGGGCGAATATTTTGAGAATGGCTGGGAAATGGGGTAAAGCTGAAGTAAAGCTCTTATCAGCATGAACAAATAGAGGTAGAATAGGGAGGAGAGAAGGGACTAGGAAATACTTGTGCTGTAAATAAAGCTGCCTCAAGAGTATGGGTTCTTCAAATGTTTCTCAACTAATTAGGGTGGAGGCTATGAGAGAGGGGAGGAAGGGAAAATAAGCAAATTACTTTGCCGCAGCTCTGTTTCTGCAAGTGGTTTATGAGGGTTTTCTCCTATTTGTTATTGTACTGATAACTGGAGGTTTGAAAGCGTGCCCTTTGTAGAACTGGTATGCTGAGGATTTCTGCATTTGGCTTATGAGAAGGCAGCTATTTTCTAAATGTTAATCATATGATATCAACTGCTTCTTATGTGGTTTTCTTTCATTAGACATTTTTTAGTGTCTTTTGTAAGCACACTTCAATTGGTTGAGCTACTACCGTGGGTAATGGAAGTATGTCAGTTGTCAAGTGCAAGTGTTTTGTCACTTGGAAGCTGATGCCTTGGATTCTCTGTAATGGTCCAGTATGTTGACCTTTTTCTGTTTAGTTAGGAGTATATGTGGTATTTCTTTCAGCAGCTCAGAGTCACAACTGCTGGTAGCTACCTCTGGGTTAGAATTGGTTATTGGTAAAGTATAGTAGGATAAAAGTTCAGGTGTCAGATGTAAAAGGTGTGGCTTGCTGCTAATTATTGTTGCAAAACACAGAATTCAGTTTGCAAAGCTAGACTGAGGAAAAGATAAACAAAATCAGGCTTTCTTGCACCAGTAAAATAGCTATTTACTCTAAGAAATGGAGAACAGAATCAGTGTGCATATTCAGTGTTTTTCATAACTGATTTTGCTTGCAAAAACCTACTGTCTTTCATACCTTCTGAAATGGATTTATGCTAAAATGGGTCTCTTAAACCAATACAACTGGAAGGAGGCTGAAGCACCAAAGTGTCCATGTTTTCCTCACACCCTCAATGATATTTTTCTTGTTTGTTTCACAAATCTCCTTTTGGTTTTTCTGTGTAACTTATAGTTGAATTACTTCTTTTAAAGTGTTCTGTTTACTTTTATTTTCCTAGGTCAACTGCACAAGTTAGAAGGTCTGAAAACCATTGCTGTCACAACCAACGGGATGAACTTAACCAGATTGCTGCCCCGACTGAAAGAGGCAGGACTGAATGCCATTAACATTAGCCTGGATACCTTGGTCCCAGCTAAATTTGAGTTCATTGTCCGGAGAAAAGGTACAAGCTTGGCTTCTAATGCAACTGTGTTCGTACTTGCAGTAGTGTCAAAAGTTGTTTGGCGTGTTGTTCAACTTGGTTACTTTGGTAGGGGAGTGAATTGCTGTCCTTCCAAGGCTCGAAAATGTAGTCTGTATTAGCTTAATTGGTAGTGACTTTTTTTCCTTCTTTCTACAACCTTTAGGCAGGTAGAGAGCCTTTAGTTGGAGCTGGTAGAGTAGAAGATGCTCAACTCAGCACAGTCAGTGGGACTGTGACTACAGTTGGCAGCAAATGGCTGATTACCGGTTAGTCATGGACATCAAGAGGACTTTCCAAATCTTGTGTTGGTCTCATGTGCTGCTATTTGATACTGTCAAAGAACCAGATGTTCCTGCTATAGCAGCCAGGAACTAAGATGCTGCAAGAACAGAACTTATCACAGATAGTGGCAGTTTCTGGAAGCTGTATTTGGGCATGCTAGCAGTGGTCTCCCTTTCGAGTAGTGATGTTCCCTACTTCCATAATTTTTTAATAGGAATAAACATAAACCATGCCTGAGGTCACTTGAGGAGGGCTATTGGCTTTGTAATTTCATCCGGTTGAGTAGTAATTCCAAAGAAAGTCTTAAAAATGCTTGGGTGTGCCCAGTGTTACAGATTCTTGTCTAAATGAATCATAAAGCTCATTATGAAGTTCAGCTTTGTGGTTTGGCTTCCTTCCAACCTAAAGCTGATTTGATCTTGTGTTCCTCTATTTCTGTACAGTAATGTAACTTTGTCAGTCTGTGAATTTCTAGTTCAGACAAAACCTTCGCATAGCCACTAGATGGTGCAACAACGTAAGATAAATTTAGAGAAAGGGCTGTAGAAATCTGGGGTGCTGTGAGAAATAATTTCAACGTTTGAATCACCCTGCTGTCAGGTTCTGCTGGCAGGTGCAAAAAGGTGTCCTTGTCTATAGTCTCACTAAGAGCACTTCTTCAGATTTTTACATCATGATGCCAGAATCTGTTCCTTTCATAAATCTGACTGGAGCATTATCGTTCTGGTGTAGGCTATTGCATTAATCTCATTGTGCCATGGCACAGTTGGCTTCCAAAGAGTGTGTAATCACAAGCAGGTGTGGACTGTGCTCTTTCCTATTGTTCTCTGCTTTTGAATATTACCTGGTTTGTGACATTCACTGGAAAAAAAAGCCCACCCTTTGCTACTGAAGGGACAAACCTGGTCCTTCAACTTCCTGAATTATATGGCCACAGCTCTTCATATCTGATTGGAAACTGTTAGGAATATGCTGCTTAAAAGCGGAAAGTTTTGGGGGAATGGGGATAATTTTTATTTATAGAAACATTCTCTTCCCCTTTTCCCCCTTTGAAAAAAAAAAAAAAGTTTTTACCACAAAGAGAGAAATTGCTCAGCTGAATAGCATAGAGAATGAATGGAGAAGTTTCTATGATTCAGTATTTTTGAGGAGGAGAATAAGTCTCCTTTGGGTTTTTTCTCCTTGGGTTTTTTCCAAGTTAAGGATAATAATGCTGAGTTGGGATTTTTCTTTTATTAAGGGCTGAAATTATATACATGTATTTTTTTTACTGTGTTTGAGGGTTTTTCATTTAATAGGAGATTTCCGTGTACGGAATGAGCAGAGAATAAAGTGCCTGTCCTACTGTGCTATCCTGTCTACTGTGGCATTTCCAGAGGTGACAAGATATAGCTCTATTAAGGTGAGAAGGATTCTTGATCTTAGAGTCCCACAGGCTGGTAAATTCTGTGGAAAGTAAAGGTGGCATCTGATTGTGGAGCTAACCAGGAGCTTGAGAAACTTGGAATGAATTTTTCCGCTCCTCTCTTAAAACCTTAGAATGAGTTTCCAGAAGGCAGGAATTTTGTGTCTTTGGTGCAGGTGACCTGCAGTACATCTGCTTTTATTCCCAAATGATTGGGACAGAGGCACTGACTGTGAGGTGATCAGTGTTTTCACTGATGTATGAAAGCAATTAGAGGACCATAGTATTTCTGCTTCTCCCCATCTATCTACCACATTCTAAGGGCTGAACAAATTAAAAGTACTTTCTTGCAGGTAGCCAGTCTAACTTGTTTTCACAGCCTGTTCCTTCTGTTTTGTTCACTACAGAAAAATCAGATAATATTGTACCATAATTAAATCATTAAACACTGGCTTTCTTCTTGTAAGGATTGAATGCTGGGAGATGTCCCACATAGGATTGATCTGGATGTGTCTAAGGTTATCTGTGCTTTGAAGTTGGCTAAAGTTATGATTTCAGAAGAAACCTAAACTGATGAAAATACTTAAATATTTCATTGGGTGGAAAAGAAGTTGTCAGTTTTAAATATCAAACACAAACTTGAAGTTCTGACCCTTGACCGTACTTGCTGACACAATGACATCTAGTATTAATTTCTGCTCTAATGTCTTGAAACATTGCATTTATTCTTTTTGTTATTCCATTACCACACAAGGACTTTGATCTAGAGAGGGTGTTTCAATAAATGTGACAATAGAAATAAACGCCTAACAGCTTTCCGTAAAAGAAGAACAGAAGACTATTAACGTTAAAATAGGAAATGCAGCAACAGATGTCCATTTTTTTTACTGTAACAAATCTTTATTTTAAATATACCCCTGCCCCAAAATTCCTTTAGTAGAAATAACTCATAGTTGTTAATCAGAACAGCTTAACTTGTTGTAGAAATTTTTGATAGCTGTTCTAAACCACCCTCTTGTGCTAGCATGGCAGGAGGTAAGAGGCAGGACTGGGAACAACACTTGAGTTAGATGCATTGCAAGCTGTAATCCTGTTCCATACCTTCACAGTGAGATGAGCCCAGCCACATGACTGTTTTGGGTTAACAGTTGGACTCAGTGATTTTAAAGGTCTTTTCCAACCTAAATTACTCTGATTCTACTCAAATGTGGAGGATTTGATCTTTTGCTTGCTAGAGGTTGCTTCCTGGCCTTTTTAGTTAAGTTTCACCTTTTTGCAATCCTGAAGTCACACAAAAGGTTTTCTGAGCTATTGCAGAGCTTTTTGATTCCATTTGTGGCTCTAGGATGTGCTTACAGCAGTGTATCATTATCTCTTTTGCCACGTTCAGCCTAAACTTGATGAAATATACCACCGGTACTGCAGACTTCCTGGGCACATGCAAAACAAGTAGGTGGTGAAGGAGAAGGATGACAAGTCATAATTTCAAACAGTTGCTTGCAAGTTATTTCACTGTCTTCTCCTTGCTCTTCACTTCTCCTTTTGGAGCTAGGACTAGTATCAGGACTGGGTCATAAGGCTGTTTCTTCTGCTTTCTGGTGTCCATGTGTAATAATGCCTTTACCAGCCAGAAGGCAGTTAAGTGAAATTTTTGCATCTTTCCTTTAGTTTCTGATTTTGAACACATCCAATACTAAGTATGCACAGAATATGATTGAATTATTTCTTATTCCTGATAAAGTGCCTACAGACTTTTGGAAAATATTGCCCTTTTGCTAGCATGTGTAAGTATTTGTTGTTGAAGACTACAGCTTTGGAAGAAGGAGCTCAGTCCCATACAGTGTTTGGTTTCTCGTATCTGAGTTTAGAACAGGATGGGAGCTTAAGTGTATTACCTGGCAGTATAGGAGACTCATTCACAAACATGGTGATAGTATTTGAGCACACCCGCTCACCAGAAACACATACCCAGAGCTCAGTAACTTGCTGTCTCATTCTTGTTGCTATCACATTGTTTCTCTGCCAGCTGATGAGTATGGCAGAGAAGGAATAAGATGTCAAATCTGAAACCGATATCTTGATGAAAGGTCTTAACTTTGTTTAAAATTGACAGAAGGTGTGGTTTGAATGAGATGATTAAGATGCTTTCCTAAAGGTTTTGGGAATTCCAGAATTGCATTGTTACTGTATTTTTCTTCCAAATTTAAGAAGAACATGTATGGGTAAAGATACTTGCCCTAAATTAACTATCTATCTATCTCTATCTGGGAGGAGCTGACAAGTGGAGGCCACACTAAAATGGTAGGGTGAAGCTGGGCATTTTGAGGGCGGGGGTACTGGTGTAGTTTAAGCCTCTTTACCTGCAGCTCTTCTTACCTGCAGCCCTCTTTGCTGAATCAGATTGGGGTTTTTTTCTTTTTTTTTTTTTTGTCTTGTACTTAATAAATAACCTCCTTTTGCATTCTGTATTTAAACAGGAGAAATAAATTTTTATTCTTTTTATATCTTAGGCTTTCACAAAGTAATGGAAGGAATCCACAAAGCCACTGAACTTGGCTACCATCCTGTTAAGGTAAAGCCAGTGTTCATTTACTCTGAAACTGTTGTGTTTTACCATAATTGTGATTAAAAGATGCAGTTCACCTGATAAGGAATTTATTATTCTCTCCCATAAATAATTTTTAGTAAAACTGAAAAGAACTATAGTAGATTGAGGATTGTGTTCAGAGGCAATGGGAGAAATCCATATAATCTCATTGCATAGCTGAGGGCGCTTGTCTGACCCAGCTGTGAACTTGGCCAGGGGAGTTAGTTAACAGGTAGAAAACTGCCCTGCAGAAAAGACATGTTTTCTCTTGGCTTATCTCCTTAGTTGCTTAGAGCAGACTCTGATGAGTGCCAGTGTCAGGGAGAGAGAAAGGGAGTCCTTCTTTGGGGTGCAGGTAAACCAGTAACATGAAACTTCACCATGACTCATCTGTTTGAGGTTCTGCAGCTGTGGTTCCCTTCAGTTTTTCCAGTATTTGGGAAGATCTACTATGTGTGAGTGGTTTAGGCTATAGAGCTATGAAAAAACAGTTGAAATTAAAGTAGGTTTTAGGCTTTCCTGGAAGAGTCATGATGCATGATGCTCAGACATACAAATCTGCCTTACAACCAGGGAGTGTTTCAGCAACTGCATAGCTATCTTTACAGATAAAGCAAAGAGGACCTGAGGCTCCAGTGTAAATATTGTTTATGAGGAATATCCAGAAAACTCAGCTTCAACCTGCTTTGGAGGAAGGCAGAACCAGTCCTGGAGCCTATGGTTATGGAGTGCACTGTGAACACTTCTGGATCTGGGGAATTTGCCTATGCCATAAATAGTACTATAGAAGGTCCCCTGCCAGTGCTTTCGCAGAAGCTGTACAACATAAGAATGGGGAGTGAAATTGTCATTTTAGACAGTAAATACTGCCATACACTAGATGAGTAAGATGATACCTTTGTTGCCTAGCTCTTGTTAGTCACCTTGCTAAATGGAGAACTAAAAACTTTAATGTTGTTGGATGCAAAAACTTAAAGGCAAGCTTGGCAGAAATGATCACCTGTATCATTGCAGTCCTGCCGAATTCTCTCATCATTTTCGCTTGCAAAAAAAACAAACCCAAAGTTCTTTTTATGTTGCCTTCTACAAGGACTGTGAAACCTTGTGTTAAGATGAAATAAAGTCATACTCTGCTCACTAATTTCAAGTGTTTGCTTTTCCTGCAGGTAAACTGTGTCGTGATGCGAGGCTTCAATGAAGATGAACTGCTGGGCTTTGTGGATTTCACAAAGGATCTGCCCCTTGATGTGCGGTTCATAGAATACATGCCCTTTGATGGTAAGCAGTCCTGCTTTGAGATTCTTCATGGCAGGCAGTGTGCCTTGGACACAGGTGAATCTTGTTTGTGTTTATTCACCCTGTTGACTTGTCTCTTGAAATCCTGGTGAGCTCTTTTGGGGAATTAGGAATTGCTTTAAATTTTATGTTGTATCTTTTGCAGCTTACCTGTCTTCCTGGGATAACCTGGAGCAAGATTGGTGGCAGGATTAGTGGGGGCTGGGACACCTACAGGGGAAACTGAGATTTGTGGAGAATGTAAATGTGGTTCTCTGCTAAGAAAATACATACCACAGTTTAAAGTTATGCTGGTTTTGTTAATTCTAGGCAATAAATGGAACTTCAAGAAGATGGTGAGCTACAAAGAAATGCTTGATACAATTAAACAGCAGTGGCCTGAATTGGAGAAATTGTCCTGTGAAACTTCCAGCACAGCCAAGGTTGGGGTTAGACAAAGATCATGTGAAATGTGTCCCCATTCTTTCCCTGCCCTTAATCCCCAAATTCTCCCAAATTCAGCATTTATATTTGACAAGCAAAATAAAAATACTCAGTGTGGTAACTGTAGGATTTTGATCAAGCTGCCTGCATGTGATTTGACTCATCAGTCTTTATTTTTAGAAATACAATGTATTTATTGTATGCCTCAGTCGGATATAGAGAATTTGAGGCCTGTATCCTGTATTTACGATTTTTGAAACTGTCTGTCTGCACATCAACAAGCCTGATGAAACAGTTGTTCAATGAAATAACAGTACTGCTCTAGAGTGTGAAGTGTCACATGGGGAGTTTCTAGCCTACATGAATCTATGGCTTGTGGTTGCCCGAGTACTGGCATCACCAGTCATTTGATAAGTACAAGAGCAAACATTTAACAAGCTTGTGAATTTCCAGGAAAAGGCAGAATAAACAGGAACCCCTGACAAAGATGACTTTGGTTTTTTTTCTTATTCTGCTGTAACCTTAGAATTGAAGAAAATCTGTGGTCTTTGGACAAGTGCAGCAGTAAAAATGAGGAGTAGATGTTTGAGTTTTATTTATTTATTTTTTTCCTCCTCTGTATTTCTGTAGAGTTATAAAGTGCCACATTTCCAGGGCCAAATCAGCTTTATCACCTCCATGTCAGAGCACTTCTGCGGATCCTGCAGTCGGCTGAGGATAACAGCAGATGGGAACCTAAAAGTTGGTAGTGAAACAGGATTCTCTTTGCTTTCATGTGGCAAAAGTAATGTTGAAATTCTTCCCTCCAAAGTAGCTGGGATGTAAAATAGGATGGAAAGATACTTGATTATAAACAGGAGTTAGCTGGTAATCCTGTATGTATACTTGGTCAAGCTTGTTGGGCTGTTAGGGAGATGTTACATAATCTTTTTTTTTTTTTTTTTCTGTTTTGCTACCATAGTTAACTTCACTTGTAAAACATGGTTGCAAGGCCAGGAAATATAAACATTTGTTTTAATCTTAGACGCAAAATCATCTTAAACGTGTGACAAGCAGATAATTTCCCACTAACAAAAAGATCCAAGCAGCTGTGAGGGCTGGCTTTTGTGTTCCACAAGGATCCTGTCATGTTTCACCAAACATCTTGCAACTCTACTCATTCAAAAGCAGTCCTTATATTTGTGGAGTGGCTGTAGGAAAGGGAAGGGGAATAACTATTTATTGCCACGTTGAAGCTGGCAGTATCTGGGGGAAAATTAAAGTTTTCAATTAAAAACTGGCATTTGCATATTGTCACCTGATATTGACAACAGCTGTGCTGCTGTCTAATGTCAGATTACCAAGGCAGCCTGAAGGCCCAGTGAGATTGTGTTATGTAAACATCCCAGGCTCTCTATGTGTGTACATGAAGAGAGATAAAGAAAAAAATCTCCATAAGCGTTCTTCAGTAGGATGGGCCTGTTCAAACCTCTTTATTCTGAATTTAGCATGAAATACTTGTAGTAGCTATTTACTTTATTATTTCTCATTTCTGCTCTTTGTTTGCTTGGGTTGGCTGTAGGTGTGCCTTTTTGGGAATTCAGAAGTGTCCTTGAGAGATCACTTACGGTCAGGTGCCTCAGATGAAGAGTTGGTTCAAGTCATTGGAGCAGCAGTGGGCAGGAAGAAGAAACAGCACGCTGGTATGTTTGTTGTACCTGAGAAATAACAGCAATGACTAGCGAAAGCAATGTCCTGGTACTGCTTCAGAATGCATTGACTTGCCAGGAGAAAGAAGGAAAGGAAAGCTTCTTGAATGAAGCTGCATTGTTTAAGGAAAGTATTTTCCTATCTGATAAGAGTATTGTCTGGTAGAAAGCTGGTAACATACCAGTTCTGCAGGTACTCCAGAGTCTGAATGTTAGTTTTGAGTCTTCTAATTTTCCACATGAGCTAGAATCTGGACCATCTACAAGTCTTTCAGGCTGACTTTTGTCTTTAAAGAGATGCAAATACCACTGCTCACAACAGCAGCAAAGTGTAAAACTAAGTAAAAATTGATGGAGTTGTGCCGGATCCCTTTTTCTCAAAATTTGTTTGCTGTAAAATAAGTGCCAAAATGAAATTGAGCTGTTGGTCCAATTACTGCATTAAATGCAGTAATTAAATGCAATTAAATCCCTTTTTGAGTGTGCAGAAATTCATAACCACCCATCTATTGCTCTGCATAAGGTCATGACACAAGTTCCATGATGATGCAGTCACATCCTCAGGTTAGATTAACCTTCTGAATTTATATTCATAGCAACTGTATTTCAGTCACATCTGTACTTAACTATATTTTTGTAATCTGGCTGCAGCTGGGAATGCTGACCTAATATATGAACTGGCTGTATGATTACACTAAAAATACACTTTGGCCCTTTTGTTCTTTTGCAGATTCTGCCAGTTTACTAACAGTTGGTTTTGCCCTTTTTGCATGATATGTAAAACAAATGTAAAGGGAATTTTTAAATCTGGACATAGACTAACTTCAAAGTTCATTGGTTTGCCCAGATAAAATACTGCTGTGTAAATATAAGGGAAGGGGTAGAAAGATTGGTTCCTTTACTTTCAGGCCATTCATTTCTGACTTTCTGATTAGGAGAAAAGAGTGTTTTTCCCATGTAGTAAAGCCATTTTGCCACCAGCAGCATTTACCTGGCATTGTCTGTCATCTTCCGATTTGTGTTAATCCCGGTGTTGTCCCTGGGGCCCTCTGTGATTGGACAACTCTGAACTGGAGCACTGTTAACAGCTTATCCATGGAAGTAATACAGTTAAATGCTATTGTTAAGAAACAAGAGAGTCTCAAATTATCTGAATTCTGTAGTAGGGAGACTTAATTCAGATTACGGAAAGCTTTCTGGGAAAGGGTTCTACAGTTTGATTGAGCCATAGCAGCTGGATGCTTGGAGGCTGTGGCAGCTATGGTTTTAAATAATACCATGCTGGATTTCCCTTCCTCTAGCTTCCTCCGTCTTTACGGAGCTTTGATTTTCCTAGCATGCAGGTTGCACTGTGGAGCAGAAAACAAGATATATAAACCAGATGCATGAGTTCAAACCTAAAAAGCTAGGATTTTTATGTGTTCCTTATTTTATTTCTAGGCATGTTTAACATTTCCCAGATGAAAAACCGGCCAATGATCCTGATTGGTGGGTGACAAATCAGTACGTAATAAACATACAATGATTTTGTTTGCTTTTTGTCTTTGGGGGAGCAGGGTGGATTGGGCTTTCAAGTCGAACTTGCATTTGGTTCTGGCTTAGGTTTAGACAAAGAAATGGATTTCTATAAAAGGCAGTTGTGGTTCACAAGCGGAAGTAGAAGAGGAGAAAGGTTTAATGTCCCTACCGAGCCTTATCCAAACCGTAGTTATGTATAAAATAGCATTATATTAAATATGTAAATATATTTATATTAAATAGGATTTTATATTTAATAGCATATATACTAAACTCTTGACAGCTCACGGGGACCTACGTAATTTTTCAGGATGCATTTGAAAAAATCTCCACATGCCAAAGTTAGCATTCATAGCAATGTTTGTATGGCTACAGCTCTGATCTGTCCAATTTCCTTTTGAGCAGTGCTTTAACATTGTCTGACATACCATAAAAGAGGCAGCCTGGCCAGGTCCTCCCCCAGCTGTTCCATCTCCCTTTGAGACTAACTGCTGGCAGTCACTGCAGACTGGAGATGAGTAGAGAGTGTCTCACTGTGACACATGGGTACTCATTAGGAGATTTCCCAACTGTGTTTTGAATTACTTACAAACTTCAAATAATGCTGGCGTGCAAGCAGTCAGTGGGGGTGTGTGTATGGAATTAATTTAATGAAACTTAATGAATGCTGTGGAAATCACTAATTGGTTTTGCTAGTCCCAGTGAGCCAAACCTGGCTTCTTCCCTGCACTGCTGTTGTCTGATCCTTTGCTTGTATGGTTTGTATCCCCTTTCTCTTAATCAAAATATTCCTTTTGGCAGGTTGCTCTCCTCATGGGTTCACTTCAGTTATGGGAATTTCCTCTGTAATTTAAGTATCTCCTGCCTTCCTCGTCCCCCCAGGATTGTGCTAGTTGTAAGCTAACACAATTAAATTGCAGGCGCAGTAACACAGTAACAGGTTATAAGGAGATGCAGTGTATCATATGGTTTCAGTTGTGTTATATGTAGTGCTGTAGGAAACTATTCTTTTTTTTTTTGTATATGTTCAAGCAATTTGGGTGAAAATATAGATGACTAGGTACAACTTGAAGAAAATCTAGATTGTGATTGTTAGGAAAAGCAAAGATGTTTTGCATGCATTATTGTCTATTGCTGTCTTTTTACTTATCACTACTAAGAGCAAACAGCACTTCTCTTCCCCGCTCCCACCATGTGTGTCTACACTGTAGAAGTAAATACTAGTCCACCTTTCAGTCCAGTTTCTGAAGACACGACACCTTGCCAGAGGTTTAGCTTGAGCTTTAAAGCTAATCAAGTAATCCAGAAGACAGTACTTTGAGTTCCTTAATTTCAAAAGGAGTATTCATACTAGGCACCACTGTATAAAGAGAGAGGGAATGAAAGAGTAAGAATAATTTTCTGTGTTCTTCTAAAACAGAGCAGTGTTGCACTCAGAATGTTTATGTCCATTTAATTCCATTTCTCTGAGGGTAAACAAGTTAACACTAAACTTGCAGGAATCTTAATTTTAGTGGGTAGGCCATCACTTGCAGATCAAAAAGGGACTTTGCCTGAATTTAGACGACTGCAGTGATTTAAAAACAAACAAACAAAAAAACCTTGAAATCTCTGATTGATTTTAGCTTTCAGATCAATGTTTGGAGGGTATTATGGTTGAAAAAGCCACTAAGCACATCAGAGGCTGAGACTAACAAGAAAAAGAGATTGCTTGGTTTGTTTTTAAAGAAAGAGGGCATGATGGCACAACCAATGCCCAATGCTGTGTCTGTTACTATCGTGTGAACAGTCCAAGGGGATACTTGTAAGTGTGGTCTAATTTCAAATTTCTCAGACCAAAGAGAGCAGGAGCTCCAGAAAAAGAGAAACATGCTTATCAATGAGGGTCTTAAACTAGTGCTTAACCGCTTACCTCTCTACTGCTTTCTCCTTGCTTCCAAAACAAATCAATATTTATACATGAAAAAGGCTCCTTGTCTTGACACTTGGCATTTAGCCTTCTGCAAATGCCAAAACCAAGGGATTAAATGGTGAAAGGGGGGAGGAGGGCTTACTACTTCTCTGCCAGCTGGAAACTCTGCCAGCTCAGCTTTGAACACACTTCTGAGTAGATTTAAAATCTGTTAGTGAGAAGAGCATGATTTTTCCAGTGCTTAAGCTTCAGCTGTCATTAACATGGTAAAAGCTGTTAGTAATAAAAGAGCTTCCCATCACAGAGCCACCCTCTGAACTCATAGTGCAATTGCAGTGCTTCTGGTTCCTGCTGTCCTTAGGTGCTGGCATGACCCTTCCCTGCCAAAGGGGATGGAAGCAGGAAGTGTAGCTGCCTGTGCTGGGAGGAAGGTGTTTGGAAAGGCAAAGTTGAAAATCTGAGTGCAAGAACTTCCTATTAACCCTCTCAAGCCTTTTGAAAGAAGACTACTGCTGGGACAATCTCAAATGGATGCTGAGATGCTGTGACTTCCTTTTCTTCAGAATGGATATTCTTACAAGCTTTCTTGGCTGCTGTTTCTCAGTGTTCATAGTTTTGAAAGCAAGTTGTTTCTTCTTATCAGAGAACTTGAAATAAGTGGTTTGAGTCTTTGGATTTGTAATAACAATTACCAAATGCATGGAACTGATGAGAGAGAAAGGCCTGAGGATAAAAGGGGATGTTTGGAGGCTTATTGAGGTTTTTGCAGTACAGAAAGTCCCAAGCAGTGCTCTGACAGGCTTCTCAGGTACTGCAGACTCAGCTTAGCTTTTCAGTTAATAATATGCATTCTCATGTTACTCATGGTTTTTCCCTTTAGAGCCTGCATTGGTGCTGTTCCCACTATGCCAAGATGCCCTACAGAATTCCCCAAATTCAAAACAGGGGGGTCACACATTCATCCATTGGCTGACTTTGAGAGCAAGATTCCCCAAACAAATGAGAAAAACATTAATGGAAAACAAGCTTACAGGACAACTCTACTTGCCAAGATCTTGCCCAGAGCAACAGTGGCATATAACAACAGGAATTCTACAACCACATCTTAGAGGTCCCTGTGTCTTCCAGAAGGACCCAAGCTCCACATTTGACCCAAAGTGCCTTGATGCTTCTCCTGTAAGCCAAGTTTCAGTGGACTACCAGTCCAAAGGGGCAAGTCCAGGATCAGAATTGGGCACTATGGTATCTCGTGCCTCTGACAGCTTAACTCACACTGATGAAGAAGGACGGGCCAAAATGGTTGATGTTGGAGGAAAATCAGATTCAAGAAGAAGTGCTGTTGCTGTTGCTGTGGTCCGCCTGGGTGAGAAGGCATTTGGGATGGTAAGGCAGAACCAGGTGAAGAAGGGGAACGTGCTGGCAGTCGCCCAGGTTGCAGGAATTCAGGGAGCCAAGCTGACGAGCCAGTTGATCCCGTTGTGTCACAACATCCCCCTCAACCATGTGGAGGTGTCTCTGAGCCTGGATGAGGACAGATATGCAGTGGTGATTCGCAGTGCCTGTCAGACCTGGGGGAGGACAGGAGTGGAGATGGAAGCTCTAACAGCTGTCAGCCTGGCTGCCCTAACTGTGTATGATATGTGCAAAGCAGTTAGTCGTGACATTGTGATTGAAGAGGTGAGGTTGCTTAGTAAGACAGGTGGCCAGAGGGGAGACTTCTCAAGAGTTTAGATCATACCCAGACACCTCAATGTGACTACTGCTCATGTTTGGCCTTTTACAGAACTACCTTTGCTTAGCTGGTAGGCTTGGAGACCTCAGCAGGTGTACCCTACAGCAACCCAAAAACTCGAGTTTGCCTTACACTGTCAGCTCACTGCTGGAGCCACTTATCCTTGTTGCTAGCCACATGTTTTTTAGAGAACAAGCTTCTCCACTCTGCCAGTACCTAAACGTCAGTGTCCTTACCATGAGCTACAGCAAAGATCCGTAGTCATGCCACAGAGTTGAGTTTGTTTTTCCTTCTTACTGTGAAATATTTGCAGCTGCTGTCGTTACACCGTGCAACTGTGAGTTCTGGAAATGAAGCAAGTGCTGAAAGTGCTGTTATTTGCAACTGTTTTTAAGTCAAGGATTAAGATTTCAGAATTGTGCCTGTCTTTCTCCCTGATGTTTTTGATTGAATTTAGAAGGTGACAGAAGAACACAGCTTGGGAACCTTACCATACAGCAGAGATTATAGCTGGGGAACAGCCAGGTTCAGATGTGCAGCTCCCATCCCTTTGCATTGCTACTTCTTCCCCTGCCTGCAAATGGAAATATCCACCTACCAGTTTCAAAAGAAAAAAACAAAAAAGATGGCAGCTACTCAGTTCTCTTCTCTGTAAAACATGATGATGTAAAAACAGAGGTTTTCTGGGTTTGGAAGAATTATTTTGCTGATCCAAAAGATACCTTTTACAATGGCAGAAGCGTGTCCCAGCATTTTGATCTCTAGCACTCACATACATAGAGGCCCTGTGTCTGCATGCTTAAGGACTTAATTGTGCCATGCACGGAAGTAGGCGTCAGCTCTCCCTGGCTTTAGAAATAGGTGTCACACCAAGCCCCAGAAGACCCGAAATTTTTCAGTTCTACAGTGCAGCTCCTACTAATGAGCAACCTGCATTGTCCTGATAGATAAAACAAACTTTAAGACTAGTAGCCACTTGAAAGAGTAAGGTAATTGGTGTTGGCTAGGTGAGAGTGTTTTCCTGCATGCTTCTCCAAATTTGCTTTTGTGAAGTCTTCTGGCCTCAGAGCATTTAACTGTCCCCATAAATGTTACAATGCCCACTGTCACATAGCGTTAAATAGTTTTGATAATTGACTATCCTAGACAAGAGATTACTCGAGAGTGTTGTTAATACTGATGGATCCTTTTCAGATGTTAATTTAAATTCTCTAAACTGTGTGTTTCCAGCTTCAGTTTATTTGTTTTCTAGTGCTTATGGCTAATGTGAAATTGCATATGATGCAGGGTGCTCCCTTCTCCATACGCACAGAGAGTTGAAGACAGCTCTAGTAACATCAGAGACGCTACCAAAAAAGCATCTTAAACCTTGTGGGTAGCTGCTTCTCGTGAAATAAGGTTTAGTTACTGTGAGCATCAGTAAAGCACACATCACACTGTTGCACATCCTACTCGCTTAAAGTAAGCACAGGTCTAAGATGAGGAGGCAGAAGTTTTATGATAAATCCTCTACAAATTTTGTACACTAGCTACCACAGAAGTCACCTTTTCCATCATAGATTAATTAATTTGATTCTTTTTTCATTGTCACTGTGAGATAAGGCACATACACAGCAGCTACAACTGAATGGGGAAGGGGTCAGAAAAGCTTGGTGCTCAGACTCCATTAATGTTTGTACACCTACATCCAGTGTTACAGTCATGATGCCTGGACAGCACTGATCTGTCTGTAAGTTAACAGCAGGGGCAGAAGGGTACCTAGCACTGCTGTACTGAGCACCAACAATCCCCCAGCCATGCAAATACACAAGATTATGTTCACCTGTGGAGCAGCTGTGCCCACAGCACAGAAGTTTCCCTAGCTCAGCATGGAAACAGATTGCCAGAAAAAGGACGCACATGTGTAACCTGCTAAGTTAACCAATTACACACAAGCACTTAACTCCCCTCACCACACACAACCCACCCTGCCCTCCCTGCTCCCACCCAGTCTCTAGCTAGCTTTGAAAACTAAAAGGAAGTAGTATTAAAATGATGCTTTGGGGCATATGGTACTTTGGCTTCTGAGAAGTTTGTGATCATGCTGTAAAGCTCACCCAAAGGAGTGACTCAAGGCTACGCAAGGGACTACTGAGCACATGCATGACTGCCACGCACATTTTGCTACTTACGCACGTTTCACTACTTTCTTGGGTTAAGAGGGGCAGAACGCTTTAGGCAAACAGATTTTGGTGCCATTTTATGGTTGTGTTACATTATCAAGTCTTGAAACTATGCAGATATATATCTATATAGATATAAACTTATATAAATATATAGATAACAGTCAACATTTGTGAGAAAAATGCGCTGACAGCAGTGTATGTATCGGTGCTGGGTGGGCAATGGTGTAAAATGTGTTCATGAACTGACTTTTTGGAGGCTTGCTTTTTTATTTTTTTTCTCCACTGCATTTTTAATAAACACTAATTGTAATGGAGTAGGTTTTGTAGTACTTTGGATTCCCATTTTATTCATTCAAAGGAACACCTGTGTTTTAATCCACAGCTTCTATGAACAGTTACTACTATAAAGAATCTATTACTTTTTTTTTTTGTTTTTTTTTTTTTTGAGTGATGCTCCTCTCTATCTGCTGGTCTTAAACTGAGTAATCCTATTAACATAATAATTTATCTCATCATTATCCCAACTTCTCCCACATGCCTGTTTCAAGTCGGTGGCTGTATATAACAGCACTGCTTTGTGTTGCAGGGTAGCATAAGGTACTGGTGCCTCCAGAGCCCTCACTCTTACACTTGAGGGACTGTGCACAGAAACTGAGGTCTGGGAAAGTGCCTGTAGAGAAGTCCATACCCCCTCAATCATAAGTCTAAGGAAAATTCCCCTTCTGATCCACCTGAGCTTCCAGGAAGTCTCTCACCTATTACCAAGAAAGCCTGTTTCTACTTGAGGAAGTTGATGAGCTGTTAACTGTAGCCAGGCACAGTGCACTTGCAGGTGCTTTGCAAGAGGGTAGACAGCAGCTCTACTGGCAAAGGGTTTCTCCAGGTACAACCTTCAAGTGCCAGAATAACAGCACAAAGTTTACATCCTTTTTTCTAGGCGCTGCTTCCTAATTTGGAATTAGTTTTTTGAAGGTTTAACCAAAACAGTATAAAGCACGAAGCCCACCACATCCCTTCTCCTGAAGGAAGCTGTAAGAATGAGTCATCTCTAGCGCTGTGCTGCCAAACACCACACAGAAGCCAGTACTGCAGAACCTGGCAGTCCTTACAATGTTACAATATAGCTTTTGCCTAACTGAAATTCTGCCTCATCCAAGCTCATGTCCCATTTGTGAGTTCCTGCTTGTTCATTGCTAATCCAGCCTATGTATGTGTTCTGTGGCAGTTCGGCCTGTCTTTCCTTCATGGGAGCAGCCTGAGGCTGCTCACCCCAACCTCAGACTGCCGTGGGAAAAAACTGGATGCAGCATAGAAGGGAGAAGCTGGCAAAAGCTGGTCACTGTTGCTAAAGAGATTGAATCTAGGTCAGAGAGAACAGTGCTCTCAGAAATTGCTGGAGAAAGAGTGGGACTTTGAAGTAAGACCCGGCTTGAAATACCTTAGGAAGGAATTTCTTTTTCACAATGGGAACCACTCAAAACTAGACTAAAAGCAACAACAGCTGAGCACTAAAAAAGGGAATGAATTTTAAGCTATTCTGAGCCACTGGTGACCTGTAGTCATTCTCTGTAAGTTGCTGACGTTACTCAGCTTTACATGGTATTTGACTGCACAGAATCTGGCTCCTCATCCCACCCCTTCTGTGGCCTTTTGATAGCTTGCAGCACCTTCTGGCTGCCTCAGCAGCAGTTATGCAGGCATCTAAGAGCCTAAGAAGGGCTATAACATTGTGTGTGCTTTGGCCTTAATATAGCACTGCTAATTAGTTACACGGAACCACAGTTTGCTTCACTTACTAGAGTATTGCTCCAAGAGAAGCTTAACATTTCAGGCAGCCCAGCAGTTAGAAGAGTTGCTGGTTGCAGTGGCATGACTAGACTTTCATTTTTTTGAGACTTCAGGTTAAAATCCCAATGTAGGTGTCAAAATCAGTGGATCCAAATAGCATTGCAAAGTAATGACTATGGTGGGCAAACCCCTCACACATCTGGCACACTCCCTGGAAAGGCACAGGCTGGAGCAGCCAAATCTTTTTTCACAGGCTGGGCTTGAAGTGCTTTGAGCAAGCTTGGTGCACCCTGTCGTAAGAGCAAGATTTTGGTCACAACAAGCTTAAAACAGTGGCAGCCAAGACACAAATCCGACCTTCCCTTATCTCTCCACACTGCCAGTGCCATGTTTAGGAAGCTTTCAGTTTAGCATCTCTGTTTTTGTACTTGCCTTCTTGCTCCTTTAGAGAGCAAAGGGTACCCAAAGTAACAGTTGTGAACTGCAGCTGAGTACAAGTTCTGAATGCTGGAAGAGATGAGTGCCCTGAGACACTGCTGAGCTTTGCTCTGAACAGAGCAGCACAACAAACTAGGCACTGCTCAGTTTCATGTGCACAACCTGACTGCAGTGGCATGGCCATGCCCCTCAGGCAGCCTGCCTAGTGCCCCTGGCTCTCCAAGGGACACAACACGTGCTCCACGGAGCAAAACTTCACACTTCATTGTTGCTTAAGAGTTTCTTCCAGAAGCCCAAATCGGCAACAGTAGTATAGAGACATGCTTCACCAATAGCTCCATCAACAGAGAGGGATAGAGGTTATCTTCAAATTCTGGAGAGCCTGCTCAAAACCAGAAACTCTTAAGTACTACTGAGCTGTTCCAGCATGGTTTAGCCTTAAAAAATAAATACAACAGAAATAGCCTTCTATGCTCATAATACTTCCAGTGTGCACAGCTGCAGGATGCAAGGCCAGCAAAAGCAGAGTGTCCAGTTGCAATGTCAAGGGCGGCTTGGCTGCAGTGTGACAAGAGGCTGGGGAGGAAGAGGAGGAGGAGATTGCAGGAGGGTCAGGCAACTGTGTAGTGTGTGTAATATTATGCTTGGAAGGTTCCACATGCCATCAGATACATAGCCACTCCATTAGTAGTGCCATGGGCCAGTTGTGGCAAAGCTCAATTAGCACCAGCAATGCGTACCATTGCACAAGGC